GATATTATATCAAATTCTTGAAGTAAGGAAAATAAACACATAATTATGGCTGAAGTAGTCATAAATAGCTATTACCTTTTACTTCAGCGTAGAAAGGATACAAAAATTGACATAACTTCATAACAAACATAAACAATTTAATAGAAGTTTCTGAATAGTTTCAACTTAGAGTTAGAACTGAAATGGTCAAGTATGATCAGGTTTGATCAATGGCGCACACAAGGGGAGTGTCCTGGGGTCCGGACCCCCCCTCAAAGCCCCCTGACTTTTTCCCGATTGATGATAATTCTTAGTATTCATTATGTAAAATTTAATTAAATTGTTTTTATGATTAATTTTATTAATTAATGCTAATTATTTATTTAATTATTAGTTTTTTACTGTTTTTTGTTCCCGAAAATCGACAAAATCAAAAGGAGCATGATACAAGAAAGGTGTACTCTTTCGACCCTGGACCCCCTCCCCTTGAAAAATTCCTGTGTGCGCTACTGGGTTTGATAAATGTTTTTTAGAAATGGATCAAATGTATATGTATTCCCTTTTTAACATATATAGTTATACGAATACTTAATGCCACTAATATACAATAATTGCTTATTTTGCAATTGGAAACAGTGATCTACATGTATCCATGCGGGAATTGTATTTTTCCCTCCCAAACCATATTTTCCTTGTTTTCTAGATGTCTATTTTGTTGTCTTTACAAAACGATCAGTGTTTCTGAACTGAACACGTAATCTTGTGTTAAGGCCTGTCATTTTTATCGATAGAATGCTTTAAATACCTTCAACTAATTTCTGTTAAAAACAGACTGCACATTCAGAAAAAAATTAGCCAGGAATTTAAAAAGAATTTACAGTAAGAAAGCGAAAAGTGTCAAGGAAGTTTGTTTCGTCAGTCTTATTCATATTATCGGAGGGGGGATTTATTCCAGTTAAAATAAATATTTGTTAATGTGTGTTTTCTTTATCATTAAAACACTTCTTTCGCATGACTTACTTATTCCACCGCATTTTGCCCTTTCTGACAACAACACATTTTGTATTAGAAATGCTTTACAACTTGACTGTTTTCGTAATCCTGAATTAATTTAATAACAAAAAAATGTTTAAAAAAAATCAAGGCCGACATTAAAAAAAGTTCTTTTTAAGGTAAAGGTTTAAAAAAAAGTGAAGGGGGAGAGGCGCAAGAAGTCTTACAAAAAACACCTTGTTTTCTAACAAATCATAGAATCTGAGATATTGTCTCCCTCTTTTACGGAACAGGAAATGTACTTCAACTATTAATATTCAATTTGTACAAAGAAAAAAAAAGCAAGTAGGAAATTTCAGGTTTTAAAAGCAGGTGACAAACAAGTAATTTTTGTTTTGAAAGTCTTCAGGAATAAATAACACTTAGAGTATATTTCGAAACAAAAATCTGAAAAATGACTACATGATCTTACACGCTTTAAAAACTCTTAATTTCCTGATGGACAAAATGGCGCTGTCGGTTGACATGTTAAAAGCATAACACAGGTGAAAAGTTGATGACATATTTTGTTTTTTGTGACGGACAAAGAAAATACAGCTGATTAAGCAAATAAAATGCGTGGAAAATTTAGGAATTTAACCCTTTATCTACCGCATTATGATTTACTGCAGTTTTTTTCTTGCAATATTTTTTTTGAATCACTACATTGAATATTAAGGGATATACATAAACAAAATACTCAACTTTAGGAAATTTAATCCGTTAGAGCTAATTAATTAATTAATTAATTAATTATTACTGATAAATTAATTATATACACTGTTCACTTAAAATAAAGGGTCAAATCGTTTTGTAAGGTCTTCATTAACATACAAAAAAAAGATATTTAAATTTTGACATTGACTATTTTTTCGGGACAAAAATGATACATCTTTGCAATCCGCTGAAAACGCCGTCAGCTGAAAACGAAATTTCTACTAAAAAACTATTCGCCTTTCCCGCTAAAATACTCACCATAGAACCCTAGCTGCCATATATCTCGGAAGAATGGATTTCAAAGAATATTCTTGCTTAGTAGCGTCAGAATATTCATAAAATTTGCTATTCTGTTATTTTAAAGTGAGTGGTACTTATAAGTACCGTCGGTAGATAAAGGGTTAAACTTAAGTTTAATAATAACAAAGGATTTAAATTTTAAACGCAAATACAAGAAAAATATTTAAAGTTACATGGTATAAGAGTTCTGATGACTTACAGCTGTTTCTCCCAAATAAAAGAGTTTTTGAAGACAGCATAAGTACCATAGGTAGAATTGCAACAGTCATGGAAAGAGAAAATGATTTATGCCAACACTCGACGTCATCCAGAGGTGTGGAGCCCATTTACTTACGAAATGGCACATTAATTTGCATATCAGTTGAATATCGCGCCTACTAGTTAAATCGAGTTTTTATGCCAATTGAAAACAAAATATAAACTATGCAGGGAAAAACTTCAACTAATAATGTATGATACATAAAATTGACACATAAGATGAAAGTTTAGGGAATTGTTTATTTTTTCAAACATAGTATGAAATAAAACGAAATGTTAAGCAGATTGTTAATTCGAGTGACACGGCAAAAAGAAACACAATGGTTAAGATTTAAAGTATGGGCTTGGTAGGTAAAATTACCAATAAGGAATTCGAATTGCGCGAAGAAATGCTGCTTACAGCACCCAATGTGTGTTTCTGAGCCATTTATCTCTCGTTTCACGCTATCGTTCAAAATCGCTCAGTTCCAACCTAGCTGGCTTTATTAATCAATGAATACAAATGAGAAAAACACCGGACTCTTATTATTAAAATATATTTTCTTATTTGCTAACATCAAATAGGAAATGAGACATTCACGGTACAAATTTCAAAGAGTTGAGAAGAATGAATTCGCTTACTGTTAAAAGGCAGGACCTAAACTGGGTACAGATTTAAAAATTCTCAAATAGTGACACAAAGCCACACACACAAACATTATTACCAAGTATCATACTCTAAAGATTTAAAAACATTCCATATAAAGTGAAGTGAAGTGAATGAATCAGAAATGATTCGAGTACTACCATCTACTGCCCTTCATACATTAGTGAAGTCGAAATGCGAAATTTTACTTAGGGGCATTATTCTACATGAAAATCTATTTTGCTTCATAAAACGATGACAGGCTGTACGGACATCAGAGAGCTTCCCTGTTTACGTCCATGAATTTTCATACAATTCGATATTCCCTATTTCAGTTAAAATTGTTCGCACCTTTCATATCTTGATTCATAGCTGAGGTTTTTATTGTAACTGATAATTAAATGGATAAATGAGTCCCAAAATTGATATAATGCCGAGTGCATGATTTAATATGTTTTCACGTTTAAATATACTTACTTTTCTTTACTCGATCGAATGTTCTGGAAAAAATAACTTAGTTGTGTTCATAACGATAAATATAGGAGTTGTTAAAGAAGATAAAATAATATAAAAATCTCTTCAGTTCTCAAACAAACATTCGTAAAAAAAATATTTTGCTTTCTCCTTCATTAATTATTCATTTATACCAGGAGCAAGTTAGTAGACTTCGCTTTGTGTTTTCGGTCCGCACGGCATCAAATTCCTAAACAATTTGAAACAATATGATGCAAAAAATTAATATTTAAAGAGAAAAAGGCATCTTTTAAGAAGGATGTTTTTAAATGAAAAAAAAGTGTAATCACACACATACTGAAGCACGATTGGTTTTTAATAGAGCACATAACATGACCAAGATACATTCTAACTTACCACTTTCGAAACATAAGGATACTAAACTATATCATTATTTCACATTTCCACACAAATGTAGGCGGATAAACGAAACTAGGGATAAATACTAATCCAGTGAATGCTCCATAATTATTATTAAAGTTTTTATTTAAAAATTGAAATATTTTAAGTTTTAAAAGTGAAATTCTTTTCTTTATATCATGAAAAAAAGTAAATACAAAATATATTTGCAATCATCTTTCCGAGTTTGTTTCTAAAAAAATGGTATCATTAAATATGTAAAATAATTACTGATCCATAATTATAGTAATTTAAAAACCACAAAGAGAAAACGTAAATAATTCAAGCATAAAGTTCTCTAAAATGTTTAAAATCGCACTGTAACATATATAGACAATAAAATTATTTTGGTGCATATATTTCCTTTAATTAAATTTTCCTCCATAATCACAACCAATTCTTGATATTTGAATAAAATAATGAGACATAAACCATGCATTAAATAGAGAGTCGATAAAATATACTTCACAAGTCATTAAAAACTATTTTAAATATCCGTAGACACAAGATTGCATAATATACAAAGCATATTTGATTTTTCAGAAGTGTTAAAATATTATAATATCTTTGTTCATCAGTAGTTTATTCATGTTTTACTGTTGATAAATTATGAATAATGTCACAAATATTTCAGTAAAATAAATGTATTGATTTATAATACCTTCTCTTTGTACTATTCTGAATAACCTTTAGTGAAAACGTGTAATTTGATACACACATATGCTATGCGTTGCACATAAAACCGCAACTCGTTGATGTAAACATACAGCTTTCTGCGGTAAAATTTTACCTTGACAGATATAACATACTATTTAACATTTATAAACAAGAATCCTGCTTCCCAAACGATTTTTATAGCTACTCGTATCATGTCAAGTTCTGTGATGACGGAATGGCAAAAACGAAGACATTTATAAAAATAACGTAAACGTTTTTTAGGGCGTTTTTTCTCAATTCCTACTATTAATTCATCTTATTCAAATTTTCAATCGTTAATAAAATACTTTATATTCATCCCCTCAAGTTCAAATACATTTTTTAAAACTTGTAGTGGATGACACTTGATGTTAATACAGTTTTTCAAAAATGAATCCATTAATTAAATTAAAAAATGAATAAATAGTAACAAACAAAAAATAGTCCAACAGCATATATAGAAAGGAAAATCGTTCGTTGTGTCCCTGTAGCGCAATGGATAGCACACTTTGGACTTCTAATCCAAAGATCGTGGGTTTGAATCCTACCTGGGATGGCCAAATTTCTGAGAATGTGATTTCGTTTTACTGCACTATTTTATAAGAATAATTAAATTCAATTAATCAATAAATAGTAACAAACAAAAATTATAGTCCAACACCATATAAAGAAAGGAAAATGAAAAATCGATTTCTATTTTGGCAATTAATATTGTGATTGTCAAATGTATATACATATTTATATTAATTGTAATTATTAAATAAAAAGTGACTAAAATAAAATTTTTCTTTGTTGACCTAAGTAGGAATTGACTTATACATATATTCTTTGTTTTTCGCATAAGTTTGGCAATTAATTCGCACCGAATAATGAAAGTTTGTAAATGTGTCATTCAAAAGCCAATTCAAATAAATCGAAACGAAATTAATTCAACACTTGGCATTTAATGTTGACTGTTTTGAAACTAACAATAAAAAAGGTTCCTATTATTTGTTTCAAAATTTATATTGATATTAAGAATCAGTATGTTAATAAATAATACAAATAAAATGGGTTTTTTTTTCTTCCCAAAAATGCAGTCATGGATTTCCAAAAAATTCTACCTTTAATTTGAAAAAAAAAATACTTTAAAGAAATCTATTTAAGTTTGTTTCTCTTTAATTTAGTTCTGTGGCATTAATTTTTTTCCACCGTATTTTTTGTCCGATCACATTTATGTGGCAACGATGAAGAGAGATAAATTTCTTTACACTTTTTAAGAAACAACAGTAAAAAGAACACTCAATTTTGTAAGAGGATTTTACGAAACTTTTTTTAAATTCAAATTAAATAATCAGGTATAGAGGTTTTACTTTCCAGTAAAATGTAGAAGTTATGTTATTTAAATGCAAATTTCATAATTAAAAAAGAATTAACAGTAGAAATGCTCGAAATTTCATAACCTTAGCAAACTAAGAGCATTAAATTAATTTTTGAAATTTTAGGTACAGAAACGAAAGCACACCTCCTATAAAAAAAAAGTAGCGAGAAATACATTAAACATTAAACTTTCCATAATAAGGTACTGATAATACAATAAATTACAGCAGGCACCAGGCTTGACATAATTCTGTTCAATGCTAAAGAAATTTTTTCTTCAATGGGAAAATCATGAACTATTATTTCAGTAATAATTAAAAAAATATTTTTGCATTTAGGATGCAAAAGAAACAAAAAAAACACACACATTCGAGAAATGAAAAAAAAACCAACCCATCCTTTATTCAAATAGGATTGACCTTAAAATGCCTTTTTCGACGGATCAAAATCATTACTGCTTAGTACTGCTTAAATCAGCATGCATTAAAAAATTACCATATGTAAACAAACGACCAAACGCACATGTTTAGAAGCGCATTTTAATCGAACTTTTTATGTCTCCATTCCAAGATCCTAAAAATACGATTAAGAAAACACACATTAACATAGGAAATTTCAATACATTTTCTCTTCTTCGGGAGAATTAGACTTTTTCTTACTCTCTGGAGCAAGTTGATTTTTTTAAACATCAGTGCATAAATTGGACTCTAACGAAACCCAAAACCTGTTGGGTTAAAAATATATACTAAAAATATTTTTAAAAAATGTCAGTTATTTAAATTACTTTGAATATAAATTTATATATTAGTGAACTTATTTAAGAAAAAATTTCCACATATAGTAATATCAAAAAAAAAAGTCAACTGCACAAAATATATTCATTCAAAATTAATTTCTGTTCGAAAAAAAAGTGACAGGGCTAAAACAAGTAAAAACGATTCTCGAGTCACTAACAACTACTTATTTAACATACCATGACACACAGTAAAATAACCAAGTTTTCGAAAATAAAATAAAATAGTTTTTAACGAGAAGTTAACTTACGAGAATAGTCAGATTTCCTTTTCATAAATCATTTAAATTATATAATTTAAAATCACATTCAAATACGACTAACTTTCAAATATAACTAGCAAAATCATAACTAAATACCATTGGCTTTATTCTGATAAATTTGATTCACAATTCCTGTTTGACGGATTAAAACAAAGGTCTTATGGATCATGTTCAGTTTTCACTAAATATCTTAGTATAACTGTTCATAAAACTTAAGAAACGGCACTGCTTATTTCAGATTCTGATTAAGAAAAGCGAGTTTTTTTCTTTGAGAAAAGGTAATGTTTATAACTTAATAGTGAAATTCTAAAATAGCTGTAAATTTTTTTTTAAAAAAAAGAGTCACAAATGCATTAGTAGTGGTTTATGCGCTTTCCGAATAAATGTAGTTTTTTGTCTATCATTACTTTACAATTTTAGAATTAATAGTAGCATGTAATTTAAAATTTGATATTACAAAAATTATTAAAATATTTAAGTATTTTTAACATGATTGTTCATTACACGTACGTATAATAAATAGTATTTAAAAGAACGATTTTCATTCTATGTACACATACAGCCTCACACCTCCAACGTCAATATAAAACTCAATTGTCTAAAAAAACACATAACATTCAAATGCCTAAACTAAAACGAAATAATATTTAAAAAATATTTTAACGTTTAATGTAATAGATCCTATCATTTGATTTTAATCAAATGTTTCAATAAAAATAAAAAGTCTAGCATAAAAATAGCCGCGTATCTTTTCTACATGAAACTTGTTTTTTATCAACTACTGAATGATTTTTAGATAATCATTTAAATAAAATGTAATCAGCACAATTTTTTCAGTATAAGGTATCCGTTTATCATAAATTTTATACTGAATGATTTTCCATATTTGAATTTGTGAATGAAACACGACTGATTTATTTCTTTTTCTTTTGAGAAATTCCATACTGTAACTTAAAATATTAATCTAAGAAAGAAACAATAGAATGCATTTTCTTTTCCAAATGTTCTACCCGAATGTTTAGGAACAATTATAAAACTGAAAAATATGATAAGAAAAGTTGTACGCTAGATTTAATTCTAAAATCTTACATCAAAGGCGGTCTATATTTAACAGTTAAACGTATTAGTTATATATTACTACAAAAAAAAAACACAAATTTTATTACATCTCAAAAGCCTTATAATGGAATTAGCCATTTTTAAAATATTTTGAAATAAATATATTAGGAATACAGTAAAGTGTGTTTAAAACATAATTAACGTTAATAAAAATATTAATTAATATGCTCAAGTAAAATACAGAATTTTCCTTACAGAAAAACAAACATTTACAGTTAACAACAATATTCAATTTATAAATTAATAGTTTTATAAAAATATCTTCTTATTTTATCATATCTTCCTTTCTACTTTGAACATTTAAACACTTTTTAATGACATATCAAACATTTTCTTAAAATTAAGATTCAAGTCTCTACAAAAGTGTGGAATCATAAAACATTGACTTTTACACATAGCCTGCATTAGTTCAAATCAGAAAAATAAGTGGTTATTTTTAAGAATAACGAAATCCATATTCAATCTTAAATTTTTATTTCACTAAATACACATCTAAAATAACCATGTTAAGATATTTAAATAATTTATAAATTATAACAACCAATTGCACAAATAATAATTCATCACAAGTCAAAATAACAAAAAGGCACCGCGTTCACAGATAAAAAATTATTTGTTTCATTTAGAGTAAAAAAAAAATTAATAAAGTTATTTTTGAATGCGGATTTCGTTTAATTCAATGCACAAATACACGAATTTTTAAAATTACAAAATATTTGGGTTTACATAATTTTCCTCTACCCTAAATTCTAGGAACCGCAAAAATGTTCATGTGATTAGTACAGAACTACAAAATAGGAAAAAAAATCGATTAATTTAGCGTTTATAGAATAAATAACACTGCATTTTACACTACGTCGAACACAAAAGATTTTTTAAAATTATATTTTACCTATTAGAAATAGAATATTTTCTGCTATTGAGATCAATTTGATTTGGATCTTAACTTCAAATAACGTTTTTAGTATCAGACACAAACACCGATATTAAAATAACTTGCTATACAAACAACTAAAGCTAATCTCTGTTTGACATTTCAGCAATACATCAATCTACGAACATAAAATGTCACATTTGTTTATTCTTTTTACACATTATATGCTGTTCTATCAAAGAAAGCTTAAAATCAAAACAAACTATTAGTGAAGATAAACAAAGTGACTGTTCTTACCTTATCAGATGGAATCGGCAAGCACCGACTTAGGTCCGACATCACTCTTGAGGAAACGAGGAGGAAGGGGTTGAAATACGATAGGGTCATTTGTCTGGCAGTCACCCCTCCTCCAGGTTACGAAAGAGGACCACACATTAGCACACACACGCACAGAAAAAAAAACGATTGTGATGGGAAATAAGTCGTCTGACATTCTTTCAATAGCCCCTTGGGTCCATTTGGGAAATATTCATGTACACTTGTAGGAAGGGGCGGCGTCCCCCCTTAATAGAGAAAAGTAAAACGGCGGCAGGGGCTCGCGGTCGACCGGGGAGTCGGCTGGGTGATGGACGGAGTCCGCGGGCCCGGCCGCTGGTCAGTGAGCCGCGGCCATCGAATGCGGGGGCGGGGGAGATTGCATGATCTGGTTGGGGCTGTGCGCGTGAAGGGGCGAGCTTCCCATCATGAGGCCCCCTTCAGTCATTTGTCCACCTGCTCCCATGTTCATGGGGGGAGTCATTCGCTTTTCTTTTTGTCTTCGATTGCAGAACCACACCCTGACCACTTCTTTTTCCAGCTGTAGACTGTCCGCTAAGTTGGCTATTTCTTGAGCGGCCGGTTTAGGCTGCTTGTGAAAGTGATTCTCCAGAGCACCCTTCACTGACACTTCGATGCTGGTCCGCTTCTTGCGCTTCCGTCCCTGTGCTGCAATCTTGTCTATGGAGGTCGGGGAACCCGTGGTGCTGTCCGCCTCTTCCAGCCACTTGGCCAGCAGGGGCTTCAGTTTGCACATGTTCTTGAAGCTCAGCTGCAATGCCTCGAACCGGCAGATGGTAGTTTGGCTGAACACATTACCGTATAGAGTGCCC